AATTACTAGAAAAAAGGTATATACAAGAAAGCAATAGTAAGCACACAAGCCCGGCATTTATCGTAAATAAACATAGTGAACAAAAAAGAGGAAAAAGCCGAATGGTTATTGATTATAGAAATTTAAATGCAAAAATTAAAACATATAATTATCCGATACCAAATAAAATACTAAAGATAAAACAAATACAAGGATATAATTATTTTAGCAAATTTGATTGTAAATCAGGATTTTTTCACTTAAAACTAGAAGAAGAATCTAAAAAACTAACAGCATTCACTGTACCACAAGGATTTTATGAATGAAATGTATTACCATTTGGATATAAAAACGCATCAGGTAGATATCAACACTTTATGGACAATTACTTTAAACAAATAGAAAATTGTGTAGTGTACATTGATGATATATTATTATATTCCAAAACACAAGATGAACATATAAGATTATTAGAAAAATTTATACACATCATAGAATATTCAGGTATAAGTCTAAGTAAAAAGAAAGCTGATATAATGAAAAATCAAATAGAATTCTTAGGAATACAAATTGATAAAAAGGGGATAAAAATGCAAACACATATAGTACAAAAAATAATTAACTCAAATGAACAACTAGACACAAAAAAGAAATTACAATCATTCTTAGGACTAGTAAATCAAGTAAGAGAATACATACCAAAACTAGCAGAAAATTTAAAACCATTACAACAAAAATTAAAGAAAGATATAGAATATCAGTTTGATAAAAAAGACCAAATACAAATACAAAAGGTAAAATTATTATGTAAAAACTTACCTAAACTATACTTTCCAGATGAAAACAAAAAATTTACTTATATAATAGAATCAGATGCGAGTGAAAAAAGTTATGGAGGAATATTAAAATACAGGTATGATGACACTACGATAGAACATCATTGCAGGTATTATTCAGGAACGTTTAATAATATAGAAATAAAATGGGAAATAAATAGAAAAGAATTATATTCAGTATATAAGTGTTTATTATCATTTGAACCATATATTGTATATAACGAATTTATTATAAGAACAGATAATACACAAGTAAAATGGTGGCTAACAAGAAAAATACAAGATTCGGTAACAACAAAAGAAATAAGGAGATTGGTATTAAATATATTAAATTTCACATTTACAATTGAAGTAATAAAAACTGATAAGAATGTTATTGCAGATTACTTATCAAGACAAAGCTACTCAGACTGAGAACGAAAATACAATGGAAGAGATACTCAAAGCCATAACTACACTTTGTATAAAAGTGGATAGTATGGACAACGAGATACAAAAGCTAAAGACTAATGAAGATAATCTGAAGTCTAAAGCTAGTCAGCAGCATGACTATAAAAATGCGGAGCTACGTCGATCGGAAGACGGAAAAAACCCAGAGCTAAAAGGAGACGATGGGAAACTCCTTAAAACCCATAACATTTGTTTAAATATAGCTGCAGGTACAAGCAAACGAGTTAGTGAAAAACAAAAGAATTCAAACTTAAACCAACTATTCGAAAAACCATTTACTCCAAGGCTAACACCAAAAAACATATTAACTATAGAACCACAAACTTCTACATATGCGGATAGCCTACACCATGACAAAAGAACATACAACCATATTACGCGAACCTATATAGAAAATATATACAAAATCCAAACATTTTTAAACCTTAACCCAAGATCTAATACAACCCAAGAACCCAACCAAGATTATTTAACCCAAAAATTACAAGGTTATAATAAACTAATTGCACAACCGAAAACTAACGCCAACTTGGTGAGGACATGTTACAACTATGGACTATTAAATACAGTATATACATATGACGGAGAGGAACTAAGTGGAATACCGGAACTACATAAAGCATTTATTACATATAAAAGAGTTACTAAGGGAAATTTATTCTATGTAAAATTTTATACGGCAACAACAGAGATATTATACGAGGAAATAAAACCTCCGATACAAGTGGTAAAGATAGGACTAACAAAAGATATGATAATACCGAAAGATATTGGACAACAACCAGAGATACAAAAAACCGAGATACCCAGTTTTTATGTCAATAAGAGAATAATTGGTATATCAACCATTATACAAGAGCTAGCAAATAATTACTTAAACAGAAACGCTATATGGAGCTACTATGCAAGAGATCAGTTAATGATTTATTCCAATTCGAGGGAGCTAAGGAAAGCAGATATGGATGAAGTCCAAAGATGGATTTTATCATTACTTAAGCTAGAAGAACAACCTACGACACGAGCATTAAAAGTAGGATTTATTTCGGCAGAGTTATTAACCAGATATTGCAAGCTAATTGGTCACAGATACCCTGACCACATATGTTCAAAATGTAACGGAGAAGATAATATAATCCCAAACGTCCAGCTGGAATAAAGATAAAAAGACGGAAGTAGATAATGATAAGATGATGAAGATAAAGATGAAGGAAAAGAAGACAATGAAGATGAGATACGGACAAAAGAGATAAGAGTAAACTTATTTGTCTTGTAAAAAAGTCAATAAAGTATGGTGTGAATAGTAGTGTGTCATGATGTTAATAGTGTGTCATAAGTAGTAGGTATGGGATTGTAAGACAAGTGTAAGTAGTAGGTATGGGATTGTAAGAAAGCCATCAAGTAGTGTAAAAAAAAGTCATAGGAGTAAGTAATATAGTAGTATTATTGTGACAAGTGTAGTAATGCATTATGGTAAGTAATGTAGTACGTATGTAAATTCCTTTCTATATAAAGAAAGGCATATGTAAATAAAAAGGCAGGCATTGCCTAACTTAATATAAAACTTTCTTTCAAAAAACTCTCTCAACTAAAAATTTAGTATTTAGATAAATGGAGCAAAAATCTGAAATCCAATCAGATATTTCAGATAGCATGGCTAAGCAAGAGGCAAAGGTATATTGTTCAAAAAATATGCAGAACTAATTTCATATATTCCTGAATATCATATATATGATTGAATAAATTTATGTTAGTTATTATGTATTAGAATTATTTGAATCATGATTTCTAGTTTATTAGCACACTGGAAACAGGGAAAAAACTTCTATACTATGCCATCCTAATGTTGAAACCGGTAGGCGAGGAAGCCGTTTAGGGGAGTAAACAAAGTTGAGGCGCTGATAAGAAGGAAGTATCCGCTAAAGTACGATGCTAGTAGTGACAGGAAAACATGATAAAGATAATCTAGTTCATAATGATCTAATATGAATTTAATCAATTATGAATATGATAGGAAGGAATAATTTGAAAATAAAAACTGCATAAACAACGAACATGATTACATATATGCATGACGAGATGATAAAAATTTATGAAACTTTAATATTATATATACTTAACGGTATAGAAATAATTGAATTAAGAAGAATCATATGGGAAAAAATATTTGATGACTACGAATCAGAAAATATATTAAATCAAGAATGGTATGAAATAGATTTACAAGATCTATATTTAGATAATGAAAGAATAGAATGGTACGATTTAGAAATAAATTCAGATTAAAATGAATTACGAATATTTACAATATTGGATAGAATCTATGGATGATATAAAACTATTAGAACAATTAATAGAGGAAAATTTATCTATGTACCAAAGAACCGAAGATATGTTATATCTAGAATATATCATAAATAATATTATAGAAATATTCAGATTAAAACAACTATCGGAAGAATATTACAATAAATATTATTACATTTTACCATGAATTTCACACTACCAAAAAATAACATTAAAGGGATATCAAGATTAAGACACTTAGCAAAAGAATACTATAATAAAATCTTTAAAATAAAATACTCACCTACCACACTACCACCTACCACACTACCACTTTCATGAATCTCCCAACTACCAGTTCCGCTACGAAAAATGGTATCTTAAGATAAGTTATGAAAGGATTAGTTCTGCTGATTTATTGGTTTGTTATAGTCAAATAATATGCATGACATAATTTTTAAAAATAAGGGATCGTTTGGTGTGATGGATAAAAGGAATTAATCCTGGAATAATTTTTGAGTGCCCTTTAATTCGTTGTTTGGTTGCAAAGACTGGGATAACTTATCCCAAGATTAACCGTTAGTCTTGGGATAAGTTATCCCTCAAGACAGCACAAGTTGTACCAAAACTAATTGGGTGAAGATCATGTATATTATAGCTTAATGTTCAGTGATAGAGTTGCCACATTAGCAGTTCTAGTATGTTATATGTATGTGTTTTTGCATGCATTACTCTATCCACAATTAAGCTTTATTTTACCCATTAATTGCTAGAGTAATGAACACAAGTATGGTATATGAAAGGTGTTTTAGCAGAGAAATTATCAATGTCTACTTATATTTTAACTCAGTACGATTATTAAGTAAATATTGAACAAAAGAAATATGTTTGAACTTATATACATCAGTTCTCTCCAACCATGTGCTTTATTGTGTTATTGAAGGGGAAAGGACTACAACTGGGGCCACATAAGACTCGGCACAAGTTTTGCCAAAAGTAAATGAAACTATTCAATTCTTTTATATTTTTTAACCCCTCCCTAGCTCGGAGCTTCCACCTTTTTGCTCTCTCACCTTTTTATTTTTGAGTGACTCAAACTCACAATCTTAATATTAGAAATGAGAGGTGTTTATCATCCGAACAACTTCTTCTTGTCAAAGTTACCAGCATCTTATGGATTTGAATGACCTTTCAAAGCAACCCACTTATATATAAAGCCCAAAATAACATTAATCCCTAAAGCAACATTAATATCAAACTTACATATTATAGATTGATACTAATAATTGGAAGATCCTAACCTCAAAATTGAATTATCATTTTGCCCTTAATTTTCAAGGTGATGATGAATTATTTACTTTAAATGCAATAATGGCTAAATAATGGATTAGGAGAATAAGGAATGTCGGATTGTATTTGATTTATTAATGTATTCTTAATAAATACTAAGTAATGGTTATGATATTCAACCTTATAGTAGACTTTTCTGCTCCTATGTTTATAAAATGAAAATTTGACCATTCACATTCTTATGAATTATAAGGACTCACATTTAATATGGATTTTTATATAAAATGTTACTTACAAAAGAGTGATAAATAGGATAATTATGCTCCATTTCATCACACTCCCAACTTCACAATAATCATAAAAATTTGACATATTTACATAAGAATACAATATCATCCTTTTCTCCTAGAATAGTAAGAATATGGTAGTGAGGTTGATATTTATTTTCTTCCATATATATAATTGCTTTTTAATTGTATGTTATGATGGTTTAAAATGCTGATTTAGGATACTAGGCTTTATAAAATTATTCCTACAATTGTATTACTAAGAGAGGGTTAGTTATATGGTTACACTTTAAAATGTGTATACGTATTGTATTTGTGCTTAATTTGCGGTAAGATTCTTTAGAGCTATTTGTAGTAACATTAATTTTGGAAATTTTGGTACAACTTATATTTTATCATGTCATGTTGTAGTTGTACAAACTGCCACATATTTATTATTTCATTACACATTGCACCTATATAACTAAATTTAATTGTTTTTTCTAAGTTTAGGCAATCCTTAATAATTTGTATTGAACAATTAAGTCATTTAAGTAGCTTAATTATTTGTCAAATTCAATTTGTACTTTCTTTCTTTAAATTTATATTACTCTTTCCACACATGTTTAATATTATTTTATTATTTTTAAAAAAAAAATATGCTAGCAAAATTGGGACACACGTGCAACGCACGTGCTCTGAAACTAGTGTGTATATATATATATATATATATATATATATATATATAATATAGGTCAAACACATATACAACCCCTCAAACTTGCCCTCATTTTTCATTTTGGCACTCCAACTTAGCCTTGTTCCATTTTAACCCTTAAACTCCATTTTTTCTGTACCATTTATACTATTTTTTATAATTTGTTTTTATTTATGTTATTCAATTGCAATTTCTTATTTTAAATCAACATGTGTCAGTTAATTTTAGTTAAAAAATTAAAAATTAACAAAAAATAATTCTTTTTAAAAAATAATAATTTCTTTTTAAGAGTGTTATGTATTTTTGTGTGAAAAATAACCGACAAAATTGTTATGGTTTTCTTTCTTTAAAATCACCGACAACCTAACAATAGTGTTTAGATCAGTTTGTACACAATTTCATTAATTTGTTAAGATATCATGTTCAAGTCAAATTTTGGAGTAATAATTATCCATGACGGCAGTAATGAAGGTGAATGATGTCTACGTATATTCATAATTTCCTAACAACTAGTTATCCAAATAGTATACTGAAACTTTCTATTAAAATATTTAATTTTAATTAGTTTCAAAAGAAGCACTGTGTGGTTTAATTTTAAGTATTTTGTTTTCTTTAGTAAAACATAAGAAGTTAAGAGGAAAATGACTTCTTGCCTATTTCTTTTGTCAATAACAGCCAAATAATATCTGAACATCAAATGTTATTATGGTGTGTAACAATAACAATCATTCGCTATAGCAGCCAAAAATATGTCCGTCATTATAAAGAGGTCTAACTTTGTCTTTGGTAATTACACTTACAATCTCAATCCTCAACATTCTTGAGGAAAAAATAGCAATATTTGCTGCTGCACCTTAACTAAGATCATATGCATAACTTGAAATAACATCACTTCCAAAATAAAATTCCATCTGATGCTTCAAACTCGCGCACAACAGAGCAATGTAGAGGATGGAAGGATTACCAAAATCGAGCACGACACCATCTGGACATATCAACTTGACCTTGTAACACTGCTGGTCTATATGTAGGTTCAGCATTTCAAGCCAAACGTTTTAACTAGTCATTCATTGAGCCAGAGGAGAACATTTTAGACATACATATGGAAGGAAATCTCGCGGTAAACATGTTTACCTGTTAAAGACACAAAATGATACAATGGGAATTTGAGTAATTACAGTTTCTCAATTCTGGAAAGGACTCATTTTCTGAGAATGAAATGCCTACCATTCTTTCGAGAGATGGAAGGAATGCATGCATTGGTTCTGGTGGCAAACTTCAACTATTACTGAAAGAATCTCGATGAGGAAATGACATTGTATCTTGGCAGAGAAACTGATCAATCAAACCTTGCACTTTGTTAAACTGCTGACAGAAGAGAAGAAAATAGGAACGATCTTAACGTGCTATAGGAGAAACTTCTTGTACAAAAGTTAGCTCAATAGTGTCAGATTTCAGCGAAAAGAGAAAGTACCTTTCTACACTTACACTCTGCTGACTGATCGCAGTTTAGCTGATATTTGTCTATTCAAAAAAGTAAACATGTGCATTACTCTAAACCACTTCCTCCTTCCACAACTCACTCGAAAAAGGGAAATAACTTCTCTGGAAATAGTCCAATCAAAGTGAAGACTATTAAGCTGACGAACTAGGTAAAACAATTGATGTTAATACAGCCAAGGCATCAAATCTATAGGCTGACTAATCCTTCTACTGCAAGTAATTACTCAGACCAAATCAAGGTTGAACAGTACAATACACAGAGCTTGTGTCAGCCTCAGCTATAACAAAGACGTATATTAAAATTTCACAAATATCAGTTCTGATAGTTGATAGCACTGGATGATTTCACTGAGAATAGAAAATGACTAGTCCTTTTGTCGAATGATGATTGAAATTTGACATGCTGTTTTGTTGCCTAACCTGAAATAAATTTCTGATGTAAACTCCAAGACAAGACAAGATTGAAAAACTCCTACAATGACACTGGATCAACAAACAAGTCAAGCTTATAGACTAAAAAAAGGAGCATTCCACAAAATTAATTATCTGGATAGTAAATTGCAACAAACGCATTAAGACAACGTTATATTTTGAACAGCTTATATGCATCAGCTAAAACTAGAGGAATTTATTAAGAGAAGACGCTTTCTTGGTTATGCTGTTAATTCTAACAAAGTAAACTACAACTACTACCACTACAATGTAAACATATTGGTAACTGAAACATGTGTAAATCGTTTTTTGTTACCTAACCTTGAATTCATTCCGAGTAGGATACACTTCCTTGCCTTTCACTTAGTTCTGAGGTCCCACTCGAGGTTGAGTAATGAAAATCATTTGAAGGGAACTTATAATCTCCACAGTTATCAGCTTACTGTTTATATCTTCAGTCCAAATCTCTGAATATCCAAATACTGACAAAAGCTCAGTATATGCTATCAAATGCAGTCATATAATAAAACATGAAATCAATGAGATATAACAAGGCATTAATATGGAAGCAGATATTAGAACTCTTTTGGAATTTCTTTAAATTTCAAGATTGATGCAACTCTTTTCAAGGTTTTGGCTACCTGACTGAAAAATGAGGTTGCGTTCCCTTGGACCCCTTATCTCTGTGGGAGAGACAAGAAATGGGGAACAAAGCCGAACAGCTTTTCATGATGGCAAAATTTTTCCCAGTCTGCGAGATTTGAGGGAGAACATAGGTTAAAATACATCCTAGAGATGATCATTCTCATAACATACAAACAAACTAATCAAAACTATCATCCTTTAAAAAATGGTTTATTGACATGCATACAAAACTAGTAAAGACTAAGCTATGGAAGTAAAAATATCTTTTTGCGCTTATCAAATTTCAGATGATTACAGAAGAAATTAGCATCACGTGACTGCTGAAAAAGGACTCATGTTTTTGCTATCATTTTGGAAAAACTACACTTACATTAGTGATAAGGAGCAATCAAGTTGAGACAACAATTGAATGATGTATTGCTGTCAAAATCCTAACAAATCTGAACAGCTTTCATAATGGTGATTAATTTTGCATTCTGCAAGATTCAGGGGAGAAAATATATTATGAGAGGCAAGTAAGATAAATAATTGCTTGTATTAATATTCATTAGTATGTGACTGTTATGAACCAGCCTCGGCCCAATGTCAATACCTATACGGATGCCACACAACTAGTTATTGGGCCAAAAAGAAGCAGCAAAATTAGAAGGCCTTCACAAAGGTTGGTTTGGGACCCAGGCCCAATAAACAACTAGTTAAAAGGATGGCGGATGAGAAAGAACGGTTTATGCAAAACTATTATGAAGAGTCTATGTTTTCTCATCCCCTTTCTAAGGATTTGGTTTCTCATCTCTTTCTAATTCTTACTATCTTTTAATTCAGTTGTTTTAGTAGATAACTATTGTTAATTACCATAATTTCTATTGTATCCTTATTGAGTAATTGGAATGCATCTATGAGTTTCTGCTGAGAATTGAGTTTGTTACATTGGTGCTTTCATTGATTCCATCTACCATGGTGGACCTATCTCAAGCCCCCATCATGGGTCGTTTCAGTGGTGACAATCCTCTAGATTGGGTGATTCAAACAGAGAAGTATTTCATATTCTACGACATATTATCAGAGCATAAACTGTCGTGGGCTTCATTCTATTTGGATGGCGAGGCTTTGGAATGGTATCGTTGGCTCTTCCGAAACAAACAACTTGCGGGTTGGGACCATTTCGTGGATAAATTATTTATTCGTTTTCAAAGTCGGAAAACCCATGGCAATCGTTTAGCCTTTCTCCGGCAGTTTACCACAGTGGATGATTCTCAAGCACGGGCTGCAACTATTTCGTCATGGAGCACTATCGCTAACTCGCCTTCGCCTCAGTCATGGAATGCACGGTCCGACTACAACAAAGTGAACTCTGCCCACCAGGTGTTTGGTGAAAAGTTAAATAAGACAACTGATATTGTTGTAGGTGTTAATAATGCAACAATGCTAGTTAAAACTGGCAGCTCTGAAATGTTGGCAAATCAAGCAAAAGAGGAGATTTTTCATTCGATTTTGGATGAAACCAAAGAGGAGGCGGACTTCCCTGTTCCACAACACTTTAATGAGCCACTTATATACGACAACAATCAGGCACACAAGGTGTTCGATGAATTTTCTGTAGCATCTAAGGATGTTATTCTAGAACCACACAAGATGCTTATGATTAACACATATACTATTGAGGAAAGCAACTATGTTACTGGTGTTGGAAATGAAGGCAAGAATGAGGAAGAAGAGCTTTTTGTCATTGGAAATAAAATACGGCAATTTGTTCCTGCATTTGTGGGAATACCTTCACTATGGTTTGATTCTCCATTTTCTAGTTTCGGTGACTTTGCCATGTTTAGTATGCTACATAAACTTGGAATAGCCCGATGCTCGGAGGAGTTGTGTGGAATGCTTTCAACTTGCAGATATGACCAACTTACTAACAGAGGTATAACTGATCACTTTTGTAGACTTGGTCATGTTTCACTTGTCTTAACTTTGCATCTGTTTCCACCTGATCAATCCAGATTAGCGTTTCCATTTGATCCTGGCTCTTGTTTACTTACCATGTTTCTTAGAGTTACAAGAAACTCTCTATTTTGTCTCGCTTCGGACAACTTGGGTCATAATAAGTTCATTATGTCAACCTTGTGGTATTCTTTCAATTGGGTTGGTAAAGGACAAGAGCAATGTCTTCCTGGTTTCTTATTGTCTAAGTTGGGAGAGCTGGGTAAGGCGGAGAAAATACAGGGGTTGCTAGAGGCATTTGCTGCACGATATTCGGAGCGGTTTCCCAATATTCTTGTCAACAAAGATGATGTGCTCTTGTTTGCTATGTTTGGTGTTCACGTATCAAAGCCATCTTCGTCGTATCTTGTCTTTGATCCTGGTCTATATCTTGATGATGACTCTGTTGTTTTTGGTGTCGTGGAGATGAAGGCTGTTTGGAGGACATGTGTAACATCCGGCAATATGAAATAATTGAAGAGGCTTAGAATTGGAAATTTTCATTTTTGGAAAGAATTTAAAGTTTTGGAAATTTTGGCTAAGTATGGAAAACGTGAAATTTTGGCCAACTTTGAACAGCCATAAATTCTAGCTCAGGATGATTTAGGTGGAATTCCAGTTATGGTTGCAAAGTTCGTGGAACGAACATTCCAACACCACCGAGTTTGCTCGATTCCGAGTTCGTATGAGGGAGTTATGACCTTTGAAAGTTGGGCAGTTGACAAGGAAATCCGTCCGGGAATCATTAAGGGCATTTTAGTCTTTTCCCTAGCCAATTCTTTTGAGCTCATATTGTTGTATTAGGATGATCTTTGGATCATTTTTTGTCCCATTTTTTTTTTAAAGAGAAAGAGTTAGGGTTCTTGAGATTGAAGAAGAGAAGAAGGAGAAGAAGAATAAGAGAAGAAAGAGGAGATTTGTCAAGACCAGTGTGGATTTTCGTCGGGGGTGATCCCTATCAAGGTATGTGAGTTTTTCGTGTGGGTTGATCATTTCCCTCACACACACCAAGTTTACTCTATGCTTTGAGAAAAGATTGGGAATTGTTGTTGAAGTGTCGAAGTTGTTAGTTGTTGTTGATATTGTTGTTGAGGTTGTTGAAGTTATTGTTTGTTGTGAGGCTTGATTGGGTTGTGCATTAAGTTGAAACCTATTGTATGTTGAGGGGATTATGATTCTAAGAGCTATGACCCTTTTAAAGGTTGATCCACCATCGATTTGCAGAAATTTCTGGGCTGTCGATCCCCATCTACGGGACTGACCTACGGACCGTAGATCGATCGACGGTCCGTACTGGTCAACCGTCAATCGGAACAGAAGTTGGTTTTTGGGGCATCGATCTACGGTCACGACCTACGGTCCGTGGCCTGACCTACGGACCGTAAGTCAGGACCGTAGGTCAACACTTAGTCTTTTTCTTAAATGAATTCTGGGGAAAATCTCTGACGCAATCTACGGACCTGCAGTACGGACCGTAAGTCCATCTACGGTCCGTCGATGGCGTCCGTAAGTCCTATCTGCGTCACCAGAAATCTGAAGTCTCAGCCAAGTTTCCCCTCTTCTTTTCTCACTTTTTCATGCATGTTCCAAAGTAATTCACCTATGTTTTATAGTTGTTTTCGACGTTCCAAAGTGCGTCTAAGCGTTCAAGAATCCTTCCATAACATGTGATCGAATACCTTGAATTCATAATTCCGATTCAAGGAAAGATAGTTCCAAGTCAAGTGAAGTTTCAAGTCGAGTAAGAGTCTTAGTTTCAAGCTAAGTCATGAGATTAAAGTTGAGTTCTCTTTAAAAAAAAAAGAAAAAAAGAAAGCTATTAGGGAACTAAGTATTCCCAAAGGAGGTTGTAAATGCTATTATATTTGAATAAGAAGGGAATCATGTTTTCTTTCCCCAAAGGAGCCTTTGGGCTAAAGTTTTGAGTAATTATCTCAATCAAAGAAAGAAGTTATTTTAAAAGCATGAGCCAAAGTATTTTTGGGAGTAGTATTGAGCATCGAATTGGGGACACGAGTTTATATTAACTCAACTCCCCATAAGAACCATGCGCCAACATGGGACTTGTCGTATCATTCTCTTTAGATGATCACGTAAGATTAGGCTAGTGGATCCACTAAGCAAAAGTAAGGTCCTATATCGATGGCAAGGTATAGGATGGTCCTTTGGCAACGTGAGGTAAAACGTTGTATCATCACTAAGGCTCGTAGTGGTGATTGTCGGTTAAAGAACCTTCCACAAAAGCTGTATTATATTTATAAAAGAAAAGTGGAGTTTGTTGTCATTTTATCCTTAACGATCTAAGTCGTTTACATTCTTTTACAAGCTTTATATGTGTGGCTCGTGTCTTATTGCTTTACTTTGAGTCCAGTTATGTATATGAGTCGTTCAGAGTCAAGGTAAGTGATCTCTTGTTCTCCTTTCAAGCTTAAGTTGTGGTTCCGCTTTTCCAGCTCACATATTCGTACATTCCATGTACTGATGCCAGTTGGCCTGCATCGTCTTATGATGCAGATACAGGTACCCCGGATCAGCATCCTGCACGTCGTTGATCCAGCTGAGCACTCCAGAGTCTGTGGTGAGCCTCCTTGCGTTCCGGAGGACTCAATTATTTTGTGTACTTAGCTTTGTTCTATTAGGATGTTGCGGGGTCTGTCCCCACATCCATCTCAGTATATTAGAGGCTTCAATAGACAGTCAGACAGTCAGTCAGTCAGTTATTTTTGAGTCTCTCATCCATGTATATGTATATATATATATATATATGTAAATATTCTATTTTGAGGCTCGAGTTGCCCTTTGGGCCATATTTTATTAGTTAAGTTGTTCATGTCTTTGTATGACGTTGAGTTATTCTGTTGAGTTAGGTTTCCGCTGAGTTAAGAAAGCCAGGCCAAGGGTTCGCCTGGGGCCAGCAATGGTCTCCAGGTGCCGGTCCCGCCCAGGGTGTAGGCTCGGGGCGTGACAAACTTGGTATCAGAGCACACAGTTCAAGAGTCCTAGGGTGTCTATGAAGCCGTGTCTGTAGAGTCCTAGTTATTGGTGTGAAGCGCGCCACATCTATAATTGGGAGGCTACAACATTTAGGAAGGTTTCCCATTTTTTTTTTTCATACTCATCTCGTGCGCTAGAGTTGATCTCTAAAGAGTTTCCTTTTAATCCGTGCTTGCGCGTGTTTTCAGATAGTCATGCCTCCACGAAGAGTTGGTAGAGGGCGTCTTCCTAGACGCTATGTTGATGAGCAAGAGTTACCCTATGCACCGGGAGTGCAAGATCAAGGGGAAGTTTCTAATGCCGAGTTCAGAGAGGCAATTAGGATGTTGAGTCAAGCTGTAGCTAATCAGGTGGGTCAGCAAAGGGGAGTTCGACATGAAGGAGCTGACACTTCAAGGATCCGTGAGTTCTTGGGGATGAATCCTCCGAGTTTCATAGGATCAAGCACTACTGAGGG